AATCATTGCATCGTCCCTTTAAGGGTGCCGCGCAGTGTGCGCTAAAACATTGCCATTGAGTATTATATTTATTAGGCGTTACACGAAGGCAGTTAGGTAAAATAATGCGATGGCCGAAATTGTCGTTTCAGACATCGCTTTTTAAGATGTCGCGGATGGAAAAGGATAGAAAAACGTAAAACTTAGATTAAAGGCTTAATCTGGGAACGTCTGCCAGAAACAAAATAAAGAGTGAGCGTCAAGAAAGCAGCAGCGAGCGTCGAAGTGTCGGCGTGACAGCCGGGAGAGAGCCTCTCGGCTGTCACGAGCGCGAGTGCCTCTCAGCGAGGCCACGCTGGCCTCGTTATTTTCTACACGCGGTATCTCGAACATTCGTCCTTGAGTGCTCGAGCTTCCATTCGGCGTAAAAGTAAACGCGAATATTGTATGCATACAGCAATTTATATGGTCTCTGACGGAGTAAGAACGGCATGGCGTCTCTTTCAGTGTCCGGCCTCCTGCACAGGCTCGTCGCCATTCGCCGTGCTTTGACTGCGCGTTCATGCTCGAGACTCATGGGGCAACGAAGCTTTATTGAAAATGGGAAGCTCGGGCTGGAGGCGGGAGAGCTTAAGGACCTCCCTGCAGTTCTTAACCTGTCGGTGACAATGATTGATAGCATTTTGTTGCGTTGCTTTTTTTAAAACAGGGTGACAGCTGGTATATAGATATTTCGATTGTGACTCATTCGAAGGATTATATTTTTTGAAAATTACGAAAAATATGCAATGTGCTGAACCGGCAGGAGAACAGTTAAAAATCTTTGAAAAATGCAAGAGTTCTTAAAGGGTAACTGCAAAGAAAAAAAGTTTTTTTTAAATAGCCTAATTGGGACAAGCATGTCAAAAAACAATTTTTCCGCGAGAAAAAACATTTTTTACAGCAATATTTATTCGTGAGACTCATTTTAGTTTGCGGCTATTTCGTCTGTTTTAAATCGCGCGCCACGAAGTTGTGATTATGTGACGTCAATCCCAAAAGGTTCTCATTGGCTAAGAGTTTGATTGACAGCTTAGATCCGGTTGTTAAACCTTTGTTATATGTTGCAATTTCCTTTTGAGCGGCATATTTTTACGTTTAAAGAATAACCCATGTGATGAGAGTTATTATTCTTTACAAAAGGTTTACAAGACGGGCACTTCCGTTTGAATTCATACAAACAAAAGCTTCGCCATTCTTTCATGGCCGCCGAAGCCTCTGCTCCCGCCTGTCTCGCCTACCTCGACTAATCGTTTCGCCGAAGTGATCAGTGTTTCGTCGTTTCGTGCTGACCCAGGTGCTTGAGTGAGACTTCTTGAAGTGAAGTAGTGTGTGTTTAGCAGCTGTCGCAGGTGTTAGTGATAGAAAGCGACGCGGGGTTTCGGCTTTCATAGCGCGGTTCTTTCGTTTTCCTCTTTGCTTGCTTAGCGTGCTTTTTTTTTTTTTTTTTTTTTGCTTGTTTGCGCGTGCAAATGCTGACTTTTTGGAGATGTCAGATGCGTGATCCCGACAATGAGCCTTCCAGCAGCCATGTCGCCCCGAAAGGAATGCTATTTGGCTGGAGGCAATCGGGCGTTCGCGCAGCGACCAACGTGTCTAGTTACGTTCTCGTCATATCGCTCTGGAGGCCGTCGAGATTCGCCCCGTGTGCACCTAACGTCCGCGACTAGACAGAAAATAAAAAAGCACTATGTCCACTACGTAAAAATGGTCTCAGTTCATGCATCTGTAGGCAGGTACGAAATCGTGCCCAAATTTATTCACACCGCACGATGCAACACGTCGCTGTACAAACGCAGTCCAACACGAAGCATAAAAACGGCAGATTTAGGACAACAATTCGGAGTCCATTGTTCAATTAAAACACTTGAAAACGGCCGCAGCTTTTTACTCACGGTATGCGTCGGGAAACTTCCACATTTTGAAACAGAACGAGGCAGATTTACTTTTAAAAACGCTCCCAGCGTCCTGCCGGACCAGTTTGACTGGATCAGCTGACGACGACGGGACTTAACTGGTTGAACGTCAACCCCACAACCAATTTGCGCTCCGTGTTAGCACCGCATTACACACACCACGAACGTTTCAGCTCTGTCGCATCGCCGTGTTGCACCAAACAGAACGAGATCGCCGAAACCAACGCAGCGCTGTCGTGAACCTTGGCTTGTGGCTGCGCACTCGTGGCTGTGACTCCCTTCACTTTCAAAGCGCGCACGACGATTACGAACGATACTTTCCGTCTTCCGGGAACATCACAGGGGCACTTCTCCGGTGACGTCTTCGCTACATATGCTCGCAAACCGCGTTAAACCAAAACAATACCGACAATACTGCGGTACCGCGGCCTGGCGTAGTTGCCAGATCTTGCCGGAAGTCGAGACGCTGCGTCGGTTCAACTCCGCAACGCAAGGAGAGTGAGGGGCGGGGCGTACTCCTCTTCCGCGGGGGTCGAAAGAGCGGGAGTTTCAAATGTGGAGAGGTTCTGACTCTACTAAATTACGTCCTGTGGCGTAAATATTGATTTAAAAAATCATTTTTTTTCGCGGAACATTTGTTTGGTGACATGCTTGTCCCAATTAGGCTGTTTAAAAAAAAACTTTTTTTTCTTTGCAGTTACCCTTTAAAGTGACTCATAAAAATATTGAAACTTAAAGGTTGCGATCTCTGTAACGAATTCAATGTATTTGTAAAAACATGTTACACTAGCTGGGTCGTGCTGACAGAGATCAGGAGGAGTAGAATGTGTTGTGAAGGGGGGAAATGATGTAGGTCTGCATAAAAGGTCACGTGACCTCGCGATATCAAACGACTGTATTGCCAGATGGCTTCATGGTGTCGCGTCACGTCGCAATCACGTGACCTCAGGATGTCACGTGACGCTATATTACGTGATGTCATGTCGCCTCACTAACGTGACACTATGATTTCATGTTACGTGACGCTGCCATTGACATCAGGGTGTCTAGCACGCCACGTCTTCATGTGACGCCACTGTGGGTGTTTCGTGAGTTAAGATGTCACATAATGTCACAGTCCTTCATTATGGTTTTTAAGACGGCTCTTTATTACTATTTTCGAGTGGAATTCGGCTAATAAAACACATTTTGTGTTACTGTACTTACCCAGTTGTCCATTCACGGGAGGAAATCCCCTATCGCTGGGAAAGCTGGACGGCACCGATATGTGGGCACCCTTGTCCCTCGGATACGCGTCCCCGCGCTACGAGATCCTGTACAACATCGATCCGATCAACAACAATTCGGGTCTTCGTTGTACCAACTACAAGCTGGTCCTCGGTATAACCGAAGACGGGCAGCACGACCCGCGATTCCTGACCACAGGAGGCTCGCGTCCCTATGACGACCTGGACCTCCTGATGGTCCAGTCCACAGCGGCCAGGGTTCTGAGGGACCTTCGCAACAAGGGAGACCTCCAGTTTCCCGACAAGTGGCGGGAGAAGGCGACGCTCGACTGCGGCTACAAGGTGCCCAAGAACTTCGTGTCCCTGGCTCCACCGTACTTGTTTGACCTGGCCAGCGACCCCTGCGAGATCAACAACATTGCCAGTTCGCAGGCAGGGGTGAGCGTTTGTTGAACGGAGAGTTGTTTACATGCATGTATGGTGCCTGAAACATGTCTCCGACTGGTGTGTTTACCGCGTCCAGAAACGTGGTCTCTTGATTTCCGCCTGGTGACGCCATAGAAGTTCCACGCTGTCGTCCGTCGCGATCCTGGCGGTGTCACAGCACCGGAGGTGAATGTTGCAGACGCTTGTTCTGGCTGCAGGTCGCTCTACAGTTTGAATCCACGGAAGCTTCGACAGTCAGCAGTTGGGACGCTGCGACGACAGCGACACTCGCGTTTGCTTGTGCTTTTTGCCGGAACTTTTACCGCCACCTACCAGGATCGCGACATCCGACAACGTGACACTCCGACTTTTTTGACGTCATTTGTTGCCACTTGGGGACCTCTTTTGATGCATGGGCGGAATGGGACGGTAAACACACCAGTCGGAGACGCGTTCTAAAAGGACGCTGTACAAACCCGCGTCTGCCCACACCAGGGGTGGCAGGGGCGGATCCAGGTTTTGTTTAAGGGGGGGGATCCAGCAAGGACCCGGGAAAGGGGGGGGGAGGGGGGGGGGGATAGACCCATCATTCGACCGCGGAAGCCGGGCATCACTCCCTGCTCTCTCTCCACCCCCCCCCCCTCTCCTCCTACTTCCCTCACCCATTAAATGCTTATTGGCTGGGGAAAGTGCTACAGGCGCCGACACAGATTGACCGCAATTATGTTGTGATAAATTGTATCAAACCTTTGCCTTTTTTGAGAGAGGAACAATGAATATTTGCGTTTTATTAAAAACATTACGGGATTAATGGAAACAATGTACAGTTCTGTTATGGTACTGCTGTCGTACTTCAGTCGTACATCACGCATGCACTAAACATCCGACGCTGATGCTTTCTGATGAACGCCAGACAAATCGCTTTGGTGTCTATCAGAATGTCTTGATGGACATGCATTAGAGCAAGTCCAGTGAAACGTTCTTCTGTCATTGTGCTTCGCGTGTAGGACTTGACTCTTCGTAGAGCAGAAAAACTCCGCTCTGCCTCGGCGCTTGAAATGGGAAGCGTGCATCCAATTATTAATAGCTGACGAATGTTCGGGAACACGTCGCCGTCGGTGCTGCACAAGGTATCACGAAGATCCTCAGGAACGCTGTGCAGAGTCTGAGTCCTCCAGAATCTACACCACTCCTGGAGCTCGTGCCGCAGCGATGACGGAGACGGGAGATCCTCTTCCCAGAACAGAAGCTCTTCGTGAAGAGACCGCTCTAGAGTGTCCGGGCCATCACTCAATATGTACGATGGTAGTAAGCAAAATATTGCCTTGCTTACCCTTTCCTCCTGAGCAAATCGCGTATCCATCTCTTGGAGCATGTGGTCAATAAAAGGAACTGCCGTGTTGGTTCTGTAATGCTATTCTGGAGATGAGGACGGATTGTTCGAATGGTGAGCTTGAGGAGCAACTACTCTTGGAGTTTGAATTTTGGTCCCAACAAGATCTGCCAGCTTGACGGAGTCGTTGAACCACGATTTAAACTCTTGCTCGACTTTACACCGCAACGCCCGAAGTCTAGAGATGGTAGAATCAATCATACCATACGCGTCGATGACGTCCCGATCCCGTTTCTGAAGCTTCGTGGCAAGGGGCTTCACGACCTCCAAGGCATTTTTTACAATCATAGAAGATACGATCGTATCCGATGTTTTCAGATTGACGAGTAGGCCGGCCGCCCTCATCTTGGTGTCGCGGTCCCAGGACCACTGCTCGGCGGGCGGAAGGTCACGTGAGTCATCGGTGCTAGCTTCGATGTCAGTTCGCGCGTAAACATGGCGGTGTTGGTCGGGCACAGTCATAGCTTTTAAGCAGAGGTACACGTAGTGGTACAGGTTATAAAACGTATCCAGTGCTGTGTGTCGTTCTGCCCATCTTGTGCGACACAAACCGCAAAGCCTCCTCTTCGCTTGTTCTGAACCGTATGCCTCTAGCACTCGTTCCAAGAAACGTTGCCTCTTCGGAGACATGTCAAAGAAGAAAAATATCTCATTGATGACGTCAACGGTGAGGCGCACTTGCGGAATCTTGCAAGCTGTTGCGATGCTTAGGTTTAACCTGTGATTGCTGCAGTGAGTGTAGAGAGCTTTTGGGGACGCCTCTTTGATTCTAGCTTGGACACCAACCCGGGACGATGACATCGCTGCCGCTCCATCATACGACTGTCCCCTTGCTTTTGTAATGTCCACGTTGCAAGCAGCCAAGCTTCGGATGATTGCGGAAGCCAGTGATGCCCCCGTGGTTCTCTCCATGTGCACGAAGTCAATCACGCTTTCCTTTATATGAACTCGCTGGTTCTCAAAGACGAGATAACGTAAACAGACACACAAAATTTCTTGGTTCGAGTGCCGGTCGGTAACCTCGTCAGCGATTATTGAAAACACTCGCGACTCGCCAGCTATCTTTTCAGCAATCGATGCTTGGATGTGAGTTTTTATGACATCAATCAGGTCATTCTGGGTTGTTTTTGATGTGCCCTTCGCATTTCGTGCTGCTGTATCGAGGTGCGTCCTCAAGCGCGAGTCATGCTCGGCTATTAAGTTGACAATGGCAATAAAATTGCCTCGGTTGGTTGACGCATTCGTCTCGTCGTCGCGATGGCCACGAAGAAGGATATTTTGTCGTCCGCAAAGTAGAACAGCCTTCACAAGCACCTCAAGGATGCACAAGTTCTTTTCATACAGCTCCTTGTTTTTGTTAGAGATCATGACAGGAATAGTGGCATCTGGCCTGTCCAAACTTGACCTTAGCGTCATAGCCTGAGCCATCGCATCGCTGTGGTAGCGAAGGCGTTGATGGCAGTCAAGAAAGCCATCTTTGCCACCGGCCTTGGACAAGTTATTTAGTGGCTTGCTGACTAAAAGACCCGCTTTGGCGACACGTGGATCTCGGGGAGAGAAGAGTACACAATATTTGCATAGCCCGCCACGCACGTGGGGGCTGTACACTAGCCATCGGTATTTTTCCAGCCACGAGTGCTGAAATGTCAAAGTTTTTTCTCTTTTCGCTGTTCCTTTTGTAACAGTTTGCTTTACAAATGCGCTGTAGTTCAAAGGAGGCACGAAGTGGTTTGAGATGTAGTGGAGCTTTTCAGTGCCTTCCAGCGTTACCAAGGGCACGCTCCCATCTGCAATAAAACCACAGTCTACGGATGTTTCCTTACTTGATGGAACTACCTCCGTGCGTTCTCGTTTCGGTGGTTCCGGCCAAAGCTGTTCTTCGGACTGGTCCGGTGTGTCGGGCCCTGTCTCCGAAGTCGCCAGACGGCTGGTTGAGGCACTCGATAGTTGGGAATCCTCACAATTGCCGACACTTAGCGCAAAATAAGACGTCACTTTACGCTGCATCACTGGAGCTGGATACACTCAAACAAGACTATCCGAAAATACGCATTATTGGAAGAGATACACCGTGGACGCGAGGACCCATTGCTTTTTGTACGGCAGCTGTGTCTGAAGGCTGGAGTCTGGACGTGTGCAGAGACGGAGACTTTTTACAGCTTTTTAGAATGGACCTTTTCGAGTAACTAACGCCGTCTGGGGAGCTGTCTACGAACTGTTGGGCCTCAGATCTCCCTTGCGGAGACGAGTCAAAGCGCCAACCCCCGGTCACAGTCCGAGTTTCGCGGCGCTGACAATAGCGTCGCCACTGTCAGTGGCGCTGTGTATAGCGTCGCCACCGACAGCCGCGTTTGGGTGGTGGGGGGCTCTCATTAATATAAAAATACAAATATAAAGCTTTGTTTGCTAACAGTAATTTCAACAAAACGTCTTCACCGCGCCATGAAAATCAATTGTAATCTATTTGATATAATTATTTCTGTTTGTTCCGTTTTCGTTCTGAAACCAAAACTCTAAACTGACCCGCTCGCCTCGCCGGCGCCCTGGGCCTTGGAAGGCGCCGCTGCTCCCCTCGCCCAAATTTGAAACTTCGTAACGGCGGACGGCCTTGTCGCGTGGTTTTGTTTACCCAAGGGTCGTGCAAGCGTGCTGGCACGACCCTTGGGTAAGAAACCATAGTTGCGGTCGCGTAAGCTGAGAAACGGACCGTCGTCTTTTTCACTGGTGTCCGGAGAGCTTAGCTGGCTGGCTAAAAAAAAAGGGGGGGGGGGGGGAAGGTCCGGACCCCAGGACCCCCCCCCCCCCCCCCCCTGGATCCGCCCCTGGGTGGGCACTGCGCTTGTGTAGGAAACGTATTTGTGTGAGGTGAATCGTTTACTGGTGCCCCATGCCGACAGCAGCGCAACCACAGCGGCGTCGAGTGGGAGCCACGTGTTGGTGTATTCGCGGCGAGAAGTTTCGGTGTCACCATCTAGCGGAATCCCTGCACAACCCAAAGTGAGGACTCTTCCGAAGCTCCCGACGCCGCTGCCGCTTCTCAGATCCGAATACGCTTTCTTTCAACCTCGCTGTCTAGCTAGTAACTTCATTTTGTCATTTTTGTTTTTATAACGTGCTTTTGCATTCATGGCGGAAGATTACACACTTTTCGTCTGGCAGGCGTTCATTTCAGGCTTGAGTGATGCTAACTTAAAACTTTTTTTTTTTTTGTGCAAAGCACGATGAAGAAGCTAATTTTTATTTTACTAATGTTTTGAATTTAAGTTTCTTTTAAACGTTATTTCACAGTTTTGGGAGAGTTCCTCGTCCCACTTCTTTGAAAACAATCAACGGCATCACTCTTGTCCTGTTTTCCTCCCTTGTGACAAAAGGACTAGTTCCCTGTCCCGATTTTGCATCTTTAAAAAATCAGTTGCCGTCAGGCACCGATACACATCTTGGACTTTACCAAGCTTAACAAAAAAACGAAACAGCACCACGTTTATTATATTGGTGATAACATAAAATACGTGAATGCTCCCATCACATATAGTGTGAATGACAATGAACCTTTACAGAGTTAATGCGAAAAAAAATTTGCATTCTGAAGAGACGCGCAATTTAAAATGCCAACGTGAATTGAAAAACACACAAGGACACACACACACACACGAAAAACAAAAGAACATACAGTTCGCCATTTCGGCTTCTTTTAATCTTGATCCTGTTGCACAGTAAAGGATACTTACAGCCAGACAAAAACATATTTTAACACCCATCACATTTATTGACATCAACTCATAAACGCGCAAATCATTCCGTTAAAAAAACCGCATCTCCACGTGGTGAATGGTGTTGATTGGGGCGAAGCTCTGGTGGTGCTTGTCTGCGTAGACGCTGAGCCGCAGCATGCCGAGCCTTTCGTTCGTTTTCATCCATGTCGCGCTGCGGTCAAATGCTCAAATGCGTATATAACCACGTTCCATACCACACATTCTCTTTCTGACATGGATGAAAATGAATGAAAGGCTCGGCATGCTGCGGCTCAGCGTCTACGCAGACGAGCACCACCAAGAGCTTCGCCCCAATCAATATCATTCACCACGTGAAAATGCGATCTTTTTTTTGTTTTTTTTTTTTTTTTTTTTTTGCTTTTTTTGCTTTACACGAGCACGGGAGCACATGCTCACGTGCTCGTGAGCACGTGCGTCGGACGGACATAAGGACATGGCTATCCCTAAGGAGCTTTGCCCCTAAAAAAAAGCTACTGTAACAACACAACGGCCGGGGACTTTTCAGGCCATTTTTCCATCTATGAAAACCCATTTTCGCCTCAACCAAAAAGCACGTTTTACGCATTGTTCATACGTGACACGAAGTAGTTCTTACGAGATTTGGTTGTCGGAGGGAAAACCGATGCTTTTTGCGTGTACGTCTTGATAAGATAACATTTATCTCATCCAAAATTCGCGTACACATATCTTAATTATCAACATGAAGGGGGAAATTAGCAATGCCCAGCGAGGAGCAGGACTTTTTTTACTACGGTTCTTGAAGTGAAAACCAGCATAGTAGTGTTGAAAGTGTTCAGAAGATTGGGTGGGGGGGGGGGGGGGGGTGGTTAGGGAATAACATTGTTTACTGGAAATGCCTGATTTTCATGTACCCCTCTCTGTTCTTACATCCCTGCCCCATCATATAAGCACAAGACAATACAGGTCGCAAGTCATAACCTGCCCTCGTTTGTTTTTTTTTTTTTTTTTTTTTTTTTTTTGTCAATAAAAATATTTAATTCGAAAAACATTATCGCAAGGATTTTCTTCTTTATAGGAAAGGGCTGATGTATTTGGGGATATGCCTGAATTTTGGGGTGGGTGAAGGATTAATAAAAGGGTCGAGCCCCCCTCCCCTCCCCCTGTAACACACACACAAACACACATTGACCGCCTGTGTTCGATCCCCGAGGCGCGAGTACCGTTTAAACTTAATGCGCCCCGCAATGCTAATATTTTTTTTTAAATAAGACAGATACACATGATTGAAACTATTGTAATTCCAAAACCAGAACCACTAATGTTTCATAGGCTCGTCAAAGCTGCCAACACGCCAGTGTCCCAACACAAAGTTGGCAGCTTCTAAATTACTGCGTTCAAAGTTTCCCGCGATAAAAGCACGCCACACGCGGAGTGCAGGTAAAGAAAATCCAACACAGTTCATAGGCTTCGTACCTCCGGTACAGCGTCCGCGCCTCCACACGATATCCGCGCTCACGCACTAGGAGGGCCACTTGAATGTAAAACATAGAACACAGAAAACAAGCATCGGAAACACCAGCTCGGAGCACGTGGAGCGAAAGCTCGCGCTGCAGAACCCAGGGATCCTGGGTTCGAGCCCCACCCCTGCCCGTTTCGATCTGGATGAGCATCGTACCGGCGTGCGGTCGTGTATCACTACTGCGTGATGCACGTTAAAGACCCCAGGCTAGCGGCTGTACCGCACTGGCTAAATTTCTCATCTACAGCTGGGAGACTCGTCGCCCCTGTGAGGCAGACCAAGTTCTAGGCTGTATAAACACACACACAACCCAATTTTTTTTTTTTTTCAAGCATCGGAACAAAGACCAAGTAAAAGGCGGACTTACACGTAAAAACACAGTATAAAATAAACAAGCGTCGGAGCAAAGCGCAATAGGAGAAGAGAGAAGTTAATCTCCCTTCGTTTTAATGCCGGAGCAAACCGAGATTTCGCACTTCAAAGGAGTACGCGCGAATGAACGTGGAAGGCAGCAGGGTTGGCCACCTGCTAAACAACGCTCCTCGAACTGTAAGAAAACAATAACTGGTCACCTTTCTGCGGCGTGCGAGTCAGTGAATAATGAGCCGCCCCCGCTCCCAGATCTCAGTCTGTGCGCAAACGTGCCTTCTCCATGCCATCGTAAAAAAAAAAAAAGAGAAAAAAAGACGACGATAAGGAGCCGTGCATGGCTGTTTCTTTCTTTGCCGCTCCCTTCGTTTCTTTGCTTTGTGCTTGGTTTTCTTGTTTCGATCTCGTGTAACACCAGTGAAGCCCGTCGCCCGCGCGTCCGTGAGAGGCGCCACCGCCCCCCTGCCCCCTCTGGTCTTCGCTCTGACACTTGTTTTTTGTATTGCATTTTTCACGCGGGCTAGCAGGTTCCCGCTCATTTTATTTCTGAGCAACTGACTCGCTGACTAGCTCGGTTTAGATAAACGTAACCCCTCCCCCCCCTCCACAATAAAAAAAAAAAAGAACCGGGCCCATTCCATTCCCATTCCATTCCGGGCAATAGGCATCTAATTCCATTCCCATTCCACTCCCCTCAACGTTGCCGCCGTTCCATTCCCATTCCATGCCGGGGTCGCGAATATGTGGAATGATTCCGGAATCATTCCAACTCTGGAGTGGCAACTCCGCAACACTAGTATGCATGG